GTACAATAAAATCCATATTTTTGTATACCTATCAAAGTGTGTGGATCATATATATATGTATTTACCCTATTACGCGAAGGGTATGAAAGACTGGTGGCTTAAATGGGCTGAATACATATCATATATTTGATATACTGGTAGTGTTAAAAACCTACTTATAAACGAAATATAAAGTAGTTGATTGCTATAGCAAACACATTATTGCTTCATTGGCAATCCCAACACAGAATGTGATATGCGAATATACCTAGCCCTCCTTAAAATTCACATCTGCCCTGTTACCCAAGGGCATTCGTGGCAGTGTGGTGTAGTGGTTAACTTGTCACTATTACACGTCGCACTGCCACGTTTTAAGTCCCTAAGGTGGTATTGATTAGACCTAGGCAAGGTCGAAACGGCAGTCCACTTCTGCCTGTATGAGAATACCTTCTGGGAAGCGAGGCTATGTGACATCCATTAAAAATGCATGTTCTATTCATATCATTATAGGAAAATTCAATTACTTGCCTTTCAACCTCTTCATGCAATAGAGTGAATACATATCATATTTATGTGATCTACTGGTAGTCTCGAAAACCTACATATAAACGGAACATAAATGCATTAGTGGTTGAGTTATCAAGTCTGAAAGTAACATAAGCATCACTCACATTTCGTCATCGTGGGCATCATCATCGACATCACCCCTGATGCTTCAAAAATATATAACGGGTCAATAAATAAATTATATAATATTATTTGATGTAGCAGATGAGCTCATAAAAATACATTTGAATCTTCCGTCAGGATGAGTTACAAGAAAGCATGCTTAAATACTAAAAAGTATAACAATTGCAGCAATCGAAGTTTAAAAATGTTTCATAAAATGACAAATCATAGACTCTTTTATCCACCCGGCGTCGAAGTATCTTCAAAAGCTGAGATCTGGTTTAATTGTGCGATTCATCGAAATAGGATATATGATAAAACACTTGGTTTTACGTTGCAGTGAATATAAAAAGGATTAATGGGATTTTCTTTTATCCTCATTATGCATTTAATAAATATTTGGAGATAGGTAGATAGATAGATCAAAAGATTTGACCACTTTTTTGCACTGGTCGCTTTAAAAGGCGACCTCGGTGAAAGCACCATGTCTGCAGCTCTTCGCCATAGTAGTCGTGACAATTTTCGGCGTCACACTATGAATTTGGCTCAAAAACGAAAGTTAATTATGGATGAGTCGGGATCGCAGGGTGATAAGAGTTTATTTACAAATACTAACACCTCTAGTTCCGATGAGACTAATTTATAAATCCCTTTCAGGGAACCTTTTCTTCAAAATGGAGAGAAAATCGACATTGAACACTTCATTTTGCATAAAGCTACATCATGCAGTACATCATTTGCATTATGGTACATATGGGCCGAACGTCTGAATATGGTGTACTCTCGGCATGACGACATAACTTAGTACACCATCTTGATCGCCATCTTGATCTCTTGTACCCCTTGTGTGTCCTTAACTACGTCTACATACGCACGATCTTCCACCTTATCACATTTTGATGTTATACTACTTTTTCATTACATTCTTTTCTATTCTTTCTAGTCATTTGGCCACTGGTTCCAAGCACATTTTCACAACAAGAAGGCATTAGTTACCAGGCGCGCTTCTCACATAGACAATCCTTATCATCACGGCTCACAGGTACATGTGGCCTAAGTGCCCTAAAGCCTGAGAGTTGAGTGGCTTCAAATGAGCTGAGGACAAAATATATCGTTTGTTCCAGCACCCACAAAAGGAATTCTAGACGAATTCAAGCAGTCATGCTCCACTTGCGACGTCCATGATGGTCTAGCTTCCAAGTGAAATTCAGCTGCTAGGTGGTCGAGCAAAAAATGGGTGGTTAGACAAATATGTATGTCTTCTCCGGGAGCCAAGCGTAAGCCCTGTACGAAAAGATTTTTAGATGCGACAGACAACGCCATGCCAAAAGCTCTGATGAATAGCACTGCTCAGCACATTTAAGGCCAAACAACTGACCTAAATCCATATGAATCGACGTTTTTTGATGCAATGTTATCGAAGAAAACTTAAGGACATCTTCAATTCGTGTTTCAATCACATGAGTTCATTTATTCACATAAACAAAGAGAATATCATATTTAATATCATTAATGATTCTTCCAAACCTGGTGTTGCAGAATATCTACAAAATAGCCGAGAAAAATTCTTTCAATCGAAATCAATTATGTGGTAAGTAAGACACTATTTCTTATAACAAATAATTAGATGAAGCGAGCTCATAGTAATTGATCCGACTAAAAATCGTGTCACTACTCGCAACAATAAGAAAACATACTCTTCAAGCAATATATATATATATATATATGCTATTATATTATTTAAACATAACAAACGGAAACCTATCTTCCCAAAGATACGTGAAGTACTTTGATAATTGTTAACATAAAGGAATGTGTAAGTAGGACACTTTACTAAATGCATATCCTCTCAACTATTGGCCTACACGAGTATCTTCCCAGACCGAACACAATTTATACAAATGAATGCTGCAGACCAAAGAATCAAAGGAATGTAATTTGCTAACAAAGGATGAGGATGAATTTAAATTATCGTAATTATTGTATAATTTTTTTTGACCTCATTTACTAAGGAGCTAAAGGCTTGTTTGTTACGTGCAAGGGTGTCATACAATAATTCGGTCATAGAAAACTTATATTATGAGTTAGTCAGTAAGGGTCGACAATAAACTCTATTCATTTTATGGTTTATGCAGTTATAATTGCAATATCGACTGAGAAAATAATTCACTTATAAGATGTGCTTAAAAGAGTGAATGTAATGGGAAAGCCCGTTAGCATCAAGTGATTGTTGCCCCAAAAATTTTAAATATAAAGTCACGTAAATTATTGTTGCAACAACGATACAGTTGATAAATTTCGGCCTTATTATCTGTTTTATATCTGATTTGATGTTCAAATATGCAAGAAAAAAAACTATTCTAAAATCGCAAAGTTAGGCATCATCAGGTCTACTTGTATTTTTGTGGGAAGACACTGTTATCAGTTCTTGAACCCCCATAAAATCTGATTGTCTATAGACATACTTACATCACACATTTGCAACATTGAAGAAGCATTGTAGCTTTTCTGTTCTTATTAGCTTTTCTCTCCTAGTTTGAGCCCATCATCTTCATTAGGCTTTGACACAACTGACATGTGTTCACATTTTCCATAGGCGTTGAGTATTCTCATTTCAACTATCCTTTAAAGCCACATATTAATGGCGGCAAGGCTTCGGTTAAGAAATACATAAATTGTTATGTTTATCCTATTTCGTTTAAGGCGATGAAGGAATAGTAGTTGAATTTTCCCACAATGAAATGAGTAGAACTGATCTTTTCATTGAATTTCATATAGCCTTGCCTTCCCAAAAGTTGTTCACATTCAGAGTGGACTGCAGTTTTGACCTCGACTAGGCCCTATCAACACTCTCAGTGAGAGTCAAACCATGAGAATGCAGCGTATGATCTCTGCAGGTTAACCATTACGTCACACTGCCGCGACTGCCCTTGGGGCACAGGGCAGATGTCAATTTCAAGGAAAGCCAAGCATTTTCCAAAATCATATTCTTTGTTCGAATTGTGGATGGAGCAATTCTGTGTTTGTTATAACAATCAAAGACATTACATATATTTCTTTTAGAAAACCTGCTCAAAGCGAAATATATGAAATTGATAAATTGTTGGCCTGCAGATGTCTTTGATGATCTTGCATAATAGTCCAGATGACTATAATCTATTTTAAGTGTGAATTTAGCCCATCAAATTATTGGGCAAACATTAGGAAATTCTCATTTCACTAGACAGGCTCCTAAGGCCTACTTAAAAAAGTACATCTAAGCAATTAAAAAACGAAAATAATTAATTTATCTGATTTCTGTATCAACTAAAACTTTGCTTCATCGAAGAAAATGATATGGGAATGGCATGGCCTGCTTTAAAATTCACTTCCGACCTGTGACATTAGGCACTCCTGGATTGAGGTTTAGTAATTGAATGTTGAGAATATACGCTGCATTACAACAACCCGGGTTCGAGTCCCGTTGTGGGTGCTGATGAGACCAGTTTAGGCGAGGAAAAATTGCAGTTCACTACTGCCGAACGAAAATTATCTTTTTGTGAAGCAAGACTATATATAATTGAATAGAAGTGCAGGTTTCACTCATATATGGTAAAATGCATATACTGGTCCTTCAACATCTTAAACGAAATAGAGTAAACACATTTTTTATTAGAAATTCTGAACCACCATCTTAACCACATCGTGTTTACTTTACTACTCATATTCACAAGTAATACAGTCTAGTTGTATTTTTTTAACGCCTATCGCTTATTTTTGTGTCAGATGATATCCACACTTGAGCATAGACCTGAGGAGGAACGACAGCAGAATTCTACCGATGAGCACATGCTTTACGGTGAGCCGGTCGGCCAGTTTAGGCAGACATTTGCAGTCGCCCCAACAGAACGTTGTAGTCCACCGGCCGGACGCCAGTTAGCCTGACCGCCATGGGCTCCAGTGCTAACATACCAAATGACGCAATTCACAGTTTCCTTTTAATTCGCACCCACAAAAGTAGGCTCTGCTGGCAGCAAACCCAAACTAGCTGGCTTCTATGAGAATATGCTCGGAAGGAAGATGTGTTTGTTACATACAAATCAAGCGCATCTGGCTCAGTCATATTCTTCTCCTCCTCCATTGCCGGTACGAGGTGAGAAAGCTGTGACTTTGCTCTAGTCGGACAGAATATGCAAATACCTCGGCCCAACAGAGAAGGACACGACGACCGAGAATCAGTGAACAATATGGTGCCTCAGCCGGTTTAGCGTCCTTTATTTATCAAGAAGCACATGTCGATTGGCAAAAGGGGAAACTAAGACTATCTGCCCCATAAGCAGATAGGCAAATAGAAAAGTAATCTGAATTCAGCAGCAAAGGGGTGGCAAATTCTGCTGAAAAGCACATACATTTGGGGCGTATCTCTCTACCTCAGAGATCATGTGGTGAACTTATTTTACTTTTTTCTTCTCTTTACTGCTAGTCGCATTGGATGCCTTCTATTTCAGGGGACTTAATATTACGATAAACATTGCATGCAAATAAGCTGTCCTGATGCTCGGAAACACAGTCCCATGTCAAGATCGGATAAAAAGCACGTCTACTTGGCACTGGGAATGCCAACTCAGCCGTCAAACGTTGGGAAAATAGATTTTGAATATATATTTATCTACCAAAAAGGCTTAATCCCAGGGCTGGCTGTGAAGCCTTGGTCCCGTGGCGTCCGACAGATGAGGGAAACCCACAGTCGATGAGGTGGGCAATCATACAATTCCGTCCATTTTTCAGAAAGTTTCCACGTTCTTTGACAAAATTCAGCATAATGCCAACCGTTCTGTTGGCTTATAGTTACCAGCGCAATAAATTCTATTCCCCAACATGATTTTAGAACCATCTTTGATTTTTAGTTACTAGGCGCGCAAATTATGTTGTGTCAACTGAAAAAGGCGAGCATGGCTATGAAGGCAATATAACGAGAACGTACGCACGTGGCATAGAGAAGAAGATGCACCAATTTTGTATGGTCTGTAAAGGAACTTCCTTTCATCCAGACTGTACTGCTGAAAGGCATTGGCCGCTAAATCTGTCAATTTAAAGTTTAATCCTGACTGGGGGAGCGCTGACACGGAGACGAGAATGAAAATGACCTTTCAGATTGCATGACGCAGTGACTCCTGGAACAGATCATTAGTTCATCGTAGCTAGAATTGTCATCAATTACAGTGAAATTTCTCTAAAAAGATGCTTCCGATTGCGCCGACCAATTGAAAACAAAAAATGGTGAGATAACCTGGCATGCGAAAGAAGACTCATGAAAAGTTTAGCTTGCATTCTTGTCTAAACTTACATTTTCACTCATCTTCCTTGGACGCAAACACTGTCCTGAAGTGCATTTAAGAGTCACTCAGACTTTGAGAAAATATACCTTCCTCTTATTCTTGTGAACTCAATGTCTGGCTCGGAAAATTTGCTCTCTCCGATAGGCGAGAGCTTGGCTAGAGTGGACATCTCATAAACGATTCGATTAAATGCATGCTTGTCTAATCATTTACCATCTTTCGGAAAGCTTAATGTGTTA